TCATGTAATGCCACCTAACCACCTTCATAACTCCGTTCAGAGAATCGCTTGGCAGATTTGGAAAGCGGATTTGAATTCAGCGCTCAAAAACACGTCTAGCAGTATGGGTCTTATTTCAAATTGCCACTTCGAGTTAGGATCGTTCCCTGGTAAGTCCAAACATAGCCAGACGATTGGACCAGTTTGCACCTGTTGCTCGAGCTCGCTTTTGCCTTCGCTGGCGAGCATCACGTCATCGGCATGGAGAAGAGTCCATCGAGTCGACTTCTAGAGATCTCTTGTAATGGTATCCATGACAACAACAAACAGTAATGGGGATAGCGCAGTTCCTTGGTGTACTCTAACGGAGATGAAAAATCATCCGATATGTCTGCTGCCGTTTGTACTCGGCTCGTTGGACTAGACTAGAGGATGCGAACCCACCCGATAAATTTTTTGGGAACTTCATGCTGTTGTGAGGCATACCTATAACGTCACGCGGAGCGCGATCAAAAGCCTTCTTTAGGTCTAGAAAGGGAAGATGTGTCGAACTTCGTTTCTCGCGATGCTTTTCTAGTAGAAGGCGAGTGGCCTGTATGGCATCGATGGTGTCGGTGGTGCTGCAACCAGCCACGAAACCACACAACCACTTGGTTGGTGGTCAGCTCTACGATGTCCCGGATACGACTGGCTACAATTCGCTCGAAGATTTTCATGCTGTGCGAGAGCAAGCGAATTGGACATTAGCAATTGCAGTCATCAGGTCATCAGAATTGCCTTTTTCCAGTTGGCGATCGTCGTGCTTTGTTGCCAGCTCCTAGGCACCTTCTTCTCTACAACGGCCTGGTTGAAGAATTCCGTCAACCAAGCACCGAGCAAGATTCCAGCCCTTTCATTTTCACAAATCCACCGCTAAGTCTTCAGAACCAGCTGCTTTGCCTGATTTCATACTCTTTATAACCGCAATGGTCTCCTTCACGGTTATCTCCTGAACGGGACGTGTACTGGCGGGGCGCAAGGGATGGTAGGATGAGCAAATCCGACTGTTGAAATGTTTTCGAAGTACTCTTTCTATATCCCCGGTCTGACGATAGCGGATCTTTGCGAGTCGGTAAGAGTACCGCTCACCATCGCGAGTCTCGGTTTCTCGTTAAGATGGGCATGATAAGCAGCTCTCGCAGCAAAAACAACATTCTTCGCATGTTTCTTCTTTATTTGATTGCGCTGCTAGTTATCAGCTGTTTTCTCGAAAAAGAATGGATGATACTGCTTTTTCTTCCCACGTCTTTCTCTCTGACATGGTCCGTCTACAGCCACTTGATTGTCAACCTTTCGCCGTCCAGGCTTGATCATGCTGAGCTCCGACCGCGCGCATCCAGGGTTATCGATTCGGCAGCTCCCTTCTAAGTTTCGTCGACAGTCGTTACCGCTGGTACCACAATGCGGAAGACGACGGCCGCTTCTTTCTCATTCAGTCGCCACTGCTTGGCTCGCTAGCCCACAACTTTTAGTTAATTTCGGTTTTGGCGGGGCAATCTTTAGCGTACAAATTAGTGGTCGGTGTTGTCTTTCAACCGTTTCATAGTAGTACTGTCTTCGCGACTTTTATGAGCCCCTGATCGCGGCGCCTGAGAAGGACGAAATGAATTTGTGTTCTGTTTCCACCGCTATAGAAGGTGATGAGATGAGGGTCAAATTTGCGGAATTTCGTGTTTACAATGGCGAGATTATGCGAGTCTGCATATTCAAGAATTCTATCGCCATCAGTATTTCGTGAACCATATCCAAAACCACCATGACAGCTATAAGCAACTTCAGCACCGACCATTGAGGTCACCCGCAACAACTACTGCTTCTTGTAATGGTAGTTCAGCTGTCTTTTCGTCTAGCACGTTCCAGAACTTGTCCTTGGTTTGTTCGGACATCCAGTCTGCGAGGCATACGCTGAGAAGAAATGATATTTTTTGCGTTCGATGACTACAATGATCTTCATCAGGCGGCCATCGAAGCGCTCCACGCCCACTATCGAAACACGGAACCTTTCATAGACAATTATGCCAAGGCCGTTGGTGGATTTGGGGCCATCACAGAGAACGGCTTTGAAGCTGTGGCCAATGTCCCTCGACTTGCAGCAGGACCACCTCGTTTCCTGCACGGCACAGAAGTCAATTCTTCGACGTTCTAAAGCTTCTGCTAACTCATACGAGCGCTCCGTTAACGTGCCAACATTAGTCTTCCGTACGTTGCGGGCTTTTAGGACTAGCTATTTGCCCCCCGATGCCGTCGTTGCATCGGAGATCCTCGCATACTTTTCACACTAACCGGGCCTTACGAGGGCACGTCGGCTCCCACGGACGCAGTAGCATTACAGCGAGATTCTTTAAGTGACATTACCATTTTTGATGTGACGGGGGTGTTCGTAAGGTGGCCTGTCATGGGGGCCTGTCGCCTGCATTCGAATGTCCGCGATCAGCTCAGCCCCATTGGCACCCCTTGGAGGAACGGACATCATCACCCTGGAAGAGCATGTAACTAGAGCCGTAAATTACACCATTGATTGTTAAATGAGATATTCAGTAGAAAAGTAAATGTGAGGTGATGTTATCATTATTGTCGACGAACGAAGCATAGTGTCATGTGACGTTGAAATCCGATAACAAAAACGTTCCAAATAAATCGTATATCAGGGAAGTGCTGGAAAGTAGTGCTCGAACGTTATCTCATGTCAAAATATAATGTTAGTACGAGAGAGTATAACTTGGAAAAGTTGTCATGGTCTCTACTCTGACCGGAAACTGGACTAAAAAGGAAGCGATGAGGCTCGTTGGACAGCACGACAAAGGAATATTGAAAAAAAGTCGTGACCAAGCAATCACACGTTCACCACTGTGATTCTTTGCGATATAAATGAGGAATGATTTGGACGCCGGTCTGGCTTATTTTTTTTTGTTTGACCTCCCTCTTCGCGTGCCTGAAATCCACCTTAACCCTGACGACTACAACAAAATATACTGTTTGGGGCGGGCAAATATTTTCCAAATCGAACGCAACAGGACTGGTAAGCCTCCAACCATAACCGAAAGTCTTGCCTTGCAAAAAAGGCAATGCTCAGATAACAACCTTATGAACCACAAAGTTTATTGATAAACTAATATGTATAAAAAACACTGGTTTGTTCAGTACTTGTCTTTTTACTTGCTGTCGACCTATCTGTTTGTACCCTTTTTTACGGTTCCATCTCGAAGATGACTTTGAACAACTGAGCCAGGTTGGGATAGGTAGATTCTGCGTCAACTAGTTGGAGAACACATGCTTCAAGACGTCTCCTGCTGAGGTGGGGGAGGGGAAATGGCGTCATCGAAGTTAAGAAGTTCACTTAGCAGTTAAAGGTGTGTAAGAGCAGGCAGAACTGATGTCTGGGCCTCTGAAAACCGAGTGCCTACAGCGTTTACAGAGAATTATAGCGAGACTCACAATCCTGAAGGATTTTAGCTTGATTTGAAGAATCTCATGGACTGTAAAGTAAATCTATCGTGAATTTGTAAAGTACCCCGCTCATCTGGCGCGCGGCTCATCACACGTAGACTCGATGTTGCAGCCACGAATTGTCGATGAAGTAACTCGTTATGGGTGACGGTATTCGAAACCGAATTTCCACGGCGCCACAGTAGTTTCGCAGCGATGACCTCAAAAGGTTTGCTCAATATCAAACAAAAGGTTTGATCCTCCAGCTCCCCGCTGGAGAATCAAACTTTTTCGGTCATACAAGCAACGATTTCATCTGAAGGGGTCTAACAATGAGTGAGTGGGAGGGGGGGGGGATAACTGGATTCGAACGGCGTGCCACACTCGCCGAACGTTCGCGCGCAATGCGCACTATCAGCGGGGAGCTGGAGAATCAAACCTTTTGTTTGATAGTGCGCATTGCGCGTGAACATGTTCGGCGAGTGTGGCACGCCGTTCGAATCCAGATATCCCCTCCACTCACTCATTGTTATAGTCCCCTTCGGATGAAATCGTTGCGTGTGCGACCGAAAAGTTCTCCACATGTGCGCAATTCTGAGCTTTTCTGGTTCCCCTTAAGTTCGCTGCATGTGAAATTTTTGCTTGGAGACCGCCCGTGATTACCAAGTGCACTCAATTATCCCTACAGTAAGTGCATCCCATTTATTCGTGTGCAGGTTAGGGATGATTACGCGTACTTCATTTTTTTTTCACGGATACTACTAAATATGTAGCAGGTCTCAGTTTAGATAACTGTTGATTCGACTTTATTACAATTGCGAACTTAGAACCTGTGGGTTTCGTTACTCCATCTGTTTGATTACAACCTCATGGATTGCAGCGGTTTCAGGCATGTCTACAAGCTCATGACGTTGTCATTGCTGAGATATACGATAGTGAGGGTAGAGGGAGCTTCCAGAGTCCTGTTTCAGATAAACTGCAGGTGAATCCGCTTTTTCCGTTTCTGTTATGAAAAGTCTAAATAATATAATTAATATGGAGGCGTATGTAGCGTGATGCTTTCAGTGGGGAAGCTAGCTCGTGATTGTTTATCCGTGTCAGATTGTTCCTCCGTGTCAAAATGCCATTATCAGAATAAAACTACGGACCCACTTATCGTGTGTCCGCTTGGCCCCGCACTTTATATATGTATGTATGTATGTATGTATGTATGTATGTATGTATGTA